CAGTATAGAATAATATAAATTTTAGCTCTGTTGATATACAATGAGCCCTGTACTATACGATATACACAGTATAGAATAATATAAATTTTAGCTCTTTTATTATACAATGAGCCCTGTACTATACGATATACACAGTATAGAATAATATAAATTTTAGCTCTGTTGTTATGCAATGAGCCCTGTACTATAAGATATACACAGTATAGAATAATATAAATTTTAGCTCTGTTGATATACAATGAGCCCTGTACTATAAGATATACACAGTATAGAATAATATAAATTTTAGCTCTGTTGATATACAATGAGTCCTGTACTATAAGATATATACAGTATTGAATAATATAAATTTTAGCTCTGTTGATATACAATGAGCCCTGTACTAAAAGATATACACAGTATAGAATAATATAAATTTTAGCTCTGTTGATATACAATGAGCCCTGTACTATACGATATACACAGTATAGAATAATATAAATTTTAGCTCTGTTGATATACAAATGAGCCCTGTACTATACGATATACAGTATACAATAATATAGAATTTTATATAAATGTTAGCTACTATAGAATAATAAATTTTAGTTTACTATATACAATGAATAATATAGCCCTGTACTATACGATATACACGTTATAGAATAATATAAATTTTAGCACTGTTGATATACAATGAGCCCTGTACTATAAGATATAGACAGTATAGAATAATATAAATTTTAGCACTGTTGATATACAATGAGCCCTGTACTATACGATATACACAGTATAGAATAATATAAATTTTAGCTCTGTTGATATACAATGAGCCCTGTACTATACGATATACACAGTATAGAATAATATAAATTTTAGCACTGTTGATATACAATGAGTCCTGTACTATAAGATATACACAGTATAGAATAATATAAATTTTAGCACTGTTCATATACAATGAGCCCTGTACTATACGATATACACAGTATAGAATAATATAAATTTTAGCTCTGTTGATATACAATGAGCCCTGTACTATACGATATACACAGTATAGAATAATATAAATTTTAGCTCTTTTTGATATACAATGAGCCCTGTACTATACGATATATACACGGTATAGAATAATATAAATTTTAGCTCTGCTGATATATACAATGAGCCCTGTACTATAAGATATACACAGTATAGAATAATATAAATTTTAGCACTGTTGATATACAATGAGCCCTGTACTATAAGAATATAAATTTTAGCTCTGTTGATAGTATAGAATAACAGTATAAATAATTTTTAGCTCTGTTGATATACAATGAGCCCTGTACTATACGATATACACAGTATAGAATAATATAAATTTTAGCTCTTTTATTATACAATGAGCCCTGTACTATACGATATACACGGTATAGAATAATATAAATTTTAGCTCTGCTGATATACAATGAGCCCTGTACTATAAGATATACACAGTATAGAATAATATAAATTTTAGCACTGTTGATATACAATGAGCCCTGTACTATAAGATATACACAGTATAGAATAATATAAATTTTAGCTCTGTTGATATACAATGAGCCCTGTACTATACGATATACACAGTATAGAATAATATAAATTTTAGCTCTGTTGATATACAATGAGCCCTGTACTATACGATATACACAGTATAGAATAATATAAATTTTATAGCTCTGTTGATATACAATGAGCCCTGTACTATACGATATAGAATAATATAAATTTAGCACTGTTGTTATACAATGAGCCTGTACTATAGATATAGAATAATATAAATTTTAGCTCTGTTGATATACAATGAGCCCTGTACTATACGATATACACAGTATAGAATAATATAAATTTTAGCTCTTTTATTATACAATGAGCCCTGTACTATACGATATACACGGTATAGAATAATATAAATTTTAGCTCTGCTGATATACAATGAGCCCTATAAGATATACACAGTATAGAATAATATAAATTTTAGCATAAGATATACACAGTATAGAAATAATATAAATTTTAGCTCTGTTGATATACAATGAGCCCTGTACTATAAGATATACACATATAGAATAATATAAATTTTAGCTCTGTTGATATACAATGAGCCCCTGTACTATACGATATACACAGTATAGAATAATATAAATTTTAGCTCTGTTGATATACAATGAGCCCTGTACTATACGATATACACAGTATAGAATAATATAAATTTTAGCTCTGTTGTTATACAATGAGCCCTGTACTATAAGATATACACAGTATAGAATAATATAAATTTTAGCTCTGTTGATATGAATGATGTACTATACGATATACACGGTATGAATAATATAAATTTTAGCACTGTTGATATACAATGATATACTATAAGATATACACAGTATAGAATAATATAAATTTTTTACTTATATACAATCTGTTGATATACAATATAGAATAATATAAATTTTAGCCTGTTGATACTATAAGATATATACAGTATTGAATAATATAA